GGCACCACCCACAGTGGGCTGGGCCCTCCCACATCACTCATCAAGAAGATGCCCCACAGACATGGCCATAGGCCAGTCCAATGGAGGCAATTCCCCAATTGAGGCTCCCTGAACCCAGGTGTGTCAAGTTGACACTAAAGCTCTCCAGCCCACACTTGCTCACTTTTATTCTGTTTTTCTCCCAAATTCCTGTCAGATGTTAGATTTGCTTGGTTGATCGCTCCTCTTTTCTTCCTTCCCATGGGGTCTTGCTTTGTAGTCCAGGCTGGCCTCAGACTTGAATTCCTCCTGCCTTAGCCTCCCAAGTCTGGGATTACAGACATCCAACCGCAGTCTGCTCTCCTCTTTTTCATCATTGTGTCTTGACTTTTCCTTCATGTTCTCTGAAAGGTTTTCTTTTTTTTTTCACTCCTCAACAGCTTTGTTATTTGGTTCCTTAGTATTGCTGACAAGTACTCGACCGCTAAGCCACAGCCCCATCCCTGTAACAGCTTTGTTGAGATGTAATTCACACACACACACACGCATACATATAAAATTCATCCTTTTTAAGTGTACAATTCAGTAATATTTAGTACATTCACAGTGTCATGTAGCCATCACATCTTATTCTGGGATGTTTTAATTACCCCAAAAAGATAACCCATATCCTCAAATAGTCACTTCCCTGTCCTTAGACCACTTAAGGGTCACCTATGTTGTAGTATGTAACAATGTTTCATTCTTTGTGTTACCAAATAATGTTCCATCTTGTGGACATACTGCATTTAAAAAATACATTATTTTATTTTATGTTTGTAAGTATACTGCCTGCATGTGTCTAAGTACACCTGCGTCAGCCAGTGCCCTGGAATATCAGAAGAAGACATGGGAGCCCCTGGACCTGGAGTTATGGATGGTTGCTAGCTGCCATGTGGGTGTTGAGAACTGAACCTGGGTCCTCTGCAAGAGCATCCAATGCTCTTAACCACTGAACCATCTCTCCAGCCCCAGACATACTACATTTTATTTATGTAGTTCACCTGTTGCTGGGCATTTGGGTCATTTCTGGGTTTTGGCTATCATAAATGAACATTCACGTACAATTGTTGGTGTGGACATGTGTTTATTTCTCTTGTGTATATACCTAGGAGTGGAATT